CCCCAAAACCCCAAAACCCCAAAACCCCTTCTTAAAAAATATATGCTGAGATTTATTAAGCTACTATTTAAAAAATGTCTGGTTGGAATATCAAATACAGCAGGACTATCAAGATGATGATCAGAATAGCCAGACATATAATAGCCTTAACCACATTTCTCTGAGTCCTATTTGCAAAATCTTCCAGCTCTGTCACTCCTTCCCTAGCATTAGTATTTGCAACATCAACATCTTGATCTACAAAGCCTAGTTTCTCATCTTGGCTATACAGTAATCAACATAAAACACACAATTAGATCCCCAACCAACGAAATCTCCTAAAACTCTTAAACTGCAGAATATTAAACTCTTCACTTATCTACTCCAATTCTAATACTAAATCCCCAAAAGACCACACTAATCTACTATCCAAAATCTCTTGCTGTATACAACCATTAAATAAAGCATCTCTCCTCCCATAACCCCTCTCTTAGACTTCACCAATCTGGTATCCCACCAATGAGTTCTCCTTACCGAAAGACTTCTTCATGGAACTGCTCAATAACACTCTTGATGTTATTTCATTATATTAGATGCTTGTGATATACCTTCTCTTCTTTCATTGACCATGTTATTTGATTATCTAGATAAGATTTACTGGCTAAAAGTACCTCTGCTTCTACTCTAGTCTTTCTTTCTTCTGCAGTTAGGATAGAAACAGTCTGGTCCTTCTGAGAGTGACGGATCGGATCAGGGTTTTCATCGTCGTAGTTAGTCCTCTGATACATTTTGCTGCGAATATCTGCTTTGGAAATTTCTTGCTTCGCTTCTTGAGAAAGAAATCTGTTGTACAGATGCTCGTATTCCTTAGCGAGAGTCTCTGCTTGGTGACGATAAGTTCTATCCATTTCTTTGAGCTTATTCAATTTCTCTTCCTTACACTTTCCTTCCATTTCTTTGATATACTCTTCAGCTTCTTTAAGGCCTTTTAAAAGATGCTCAAAACTATACAAAATTGTTTGATATGCGAAAAAGACTGAAAGAGCTTACTCTGATATTTCTTCATCACTCTTTTGATTCAAAATTTGCTCCCTATGAATTTACACACTAAATACACAATTTCTGTCTTCCTTTCCTCCCATCAACCCCCTGATTTGCCTCATAAGCATCCAAAACCTGCTTAGCACTCTGATTCAACTCCTTAACCTTCCCTAACTCCAACTTTATCCTCCTAAAAATCTGCTGCATATCCACCTCCTGGATCAATGGCTCTCTCTAAATCCTCCCTAAAAGTCTCTTACCAAATCCTTCAGTCCCTCTTTCTCTCCTCCATAATCCTCAAACGACATTTTTAATTTCAATAATTTTCCAAAATGTCGGGGTTTTGGGGTTTTGGGGTTTTGGGGTTTTGGGGTTTTGGGG